ACTCCTATTGTATTTTGTGCACTAGCTATCATTAAACATATGATTAAATTTAGTCAAACAAAAGTGCTAAAGATAATTATATATGTAATGAGAAATTAAATAAACGGTAATTCATACAGGTGATCTAGATCTTGATTACCATACCATTGCCCTTTTCCTGTTTGTTATACAAATTTATAAATGAGAAATGAAAATGGGTTACACTGGTTAATATTGAACTAGTATCTTAGATAGAACATACAAAATTCTTATATTGCTATAAGTAGTTAAGTAATTTGATTAAACCTGTCTATTGTTTTTTGCTATTTATGGTGTGACACAATTGGGCTTTCAAAGGATGTATATTATTCTTAAAATGGAATAAATACTACAGAAAAATCAAATAAAACATTAAAAGACAAACCTTTGAGAATTATTAGAGCCACTCTGTTACAGAAGAGAATGTGACAAATTAAAAACAATTGAATTGATGCAATTTGACTAAAGTCTGTCACTTCAAAAATGTGATCCCAGTTATATTTTCATCTCATTAAAATTCAGTATAATCAAACACTCCATTTTTATTATCCTAACACAATATTAGAGTACCCCTTTCCTTTAAGCTTGCACTTTGAGAGCAAAGAGATTTTTCATTTATTTATGTTAAGTAAAAGTGACATTACATTAGTAAAGGTTGATTGGGTTACAATTAAATATTGTGACCTGATTTCTTTTGTACTGGAGTGATAAAATTAGGAGTCTAGATTTTCCAAGGTGACAGAAATCCTCTCAGTAGTGTTTTTTTAGGGTGTTTGGAAGCTTTGTTCTATTTTATTTGATTGTCTACTATTCTTCTGGCCATAGCCTGTTCTGGACATTGTTCATTGGTATGCAGTTTGGCTACAAAATACTGAAATCTAATTACCATGCACAAAAAATATTGAGTCATAATCTTTGCACAGTTCATGAAGATCTGAGATACAAGACAAGTATGATGAATATAAAAGTTATCTATTGTATGTTATATCACCGGTTTTTGCCAGTACAATACGGAGTGATTATCTGTCAGTTTATTCTAGAAAGTATAGTCTTTGTTATCTTGAGTCTTTTGAACCACTGAAGCAATAGGTTGTACAAGGTCAATACCAAGATAACTTGTAAGAGAATCAGCACTCACTGTTCTGCAGATCAAAATTGACTGTGAGATTTTTCTAGTCAGGATAAGTCTGCCACAGGATAAAGTGAAGCTATTCATGATAACTTTATTTCAACAGAACTGATTCCAAATAACTTTCCCAGAAAGTGGATTTAAATGTAATCTATAAAAATTCCTTCTGTCTGCAAATTATACAGGTAAACAGACCTTGCTTTCCAAGTCAATTGGTAATCCAAACTAAACAGTGAAGTACTTTCAGTAGAAAAACTGAGAATAGATTTCCTTGTGATTTTTAAGATATGAAAGATAACATTTAAGAAGTGAAGATCAGTAATAGAGATCAATTAATTTGCAGATTACCAAAACAAAACAAAAGGATCTTAAAGGCTTTGAATGCAATATTTATTGATATTCTTCAGGTATCATATTTAATAGGATTATTTTAAAAAAGCATAATAACAGAATTTTGTGCAATTTCTTGTTTTGAGTTTTCAGATGACAATGTAAAAACCATGTTTAAAAATTTAAAATATGTGTTACTTGTGTGTCATTGTTGTGTTGGAAGCAGGATTAAAGACATTTTAAGGATATTTCTGAGCAGCGTAGCTAAATTTTCTTCAAGGTTGTGATTAGGTCTCCCTGGTGAACATCAGTAAGTGTGGCGCAGCTATGCAGAATGATATGCTGATTGTTACATACAACAGACAAATCGATGGGAAGGTCAAAGTTTGGTCTCGGCAGAAGTCTCTAATTGCTACAGAACTCCATTTGTAGTTAGTGATTCAGCAATCTGACTACACCACATAGATCAAGTCCCGGGACCTCACTGTCCTTCCTGCAGGGTCATCAAGATGTAACAGGATTCCAGAAGGTTTCCAGATTCCAAATCCTCATGCTATGTGAGTCACAACAACTTTCTTTGTGAGATGAGGATATTATAGTTATTACCCAACCTTAGAACCATTTGGTTTTGGTGAGAGTAAAAAAAGCTAAAGTATTGTGTGGGATCAAGGGCTCAGGTAGCAAACACATTGTTGTTTAGGCTGTATGATAGAACTGAAACGGAATCCAACAACACATTTTTACTAATAACAAAACATGTAGAGAATCCTAAAACTGATTCAGATTCTTATTGACTATCTTTAGAACATCACAAAACTGCAAATATTTGTGTTTTGTTAAACAACTGTTTTATCCTAAAACATCTTTCAAGTGTTCATTATAAGATATACTGTATATCTTTTTTACACTATATACATGTTTCCATTTCACCAGTTAATATTTAACTATCTTACACTAATCAGCAATATTACAGGTGAAAAGGTTTGAACATATTAATGTTCATATACTAATAATTCATAGCAAGGACTTGCTCATGTTACACCATAACCGGGAAAGTTGCCCCTAGTATGAGTGATAGTAATTCTGGCAGTGAAGGTCTGTAAATACATTATTGATTGACACTTTGTTGTAACTGCCTGAGCTGGCCTAATTAGCTGATTAGGAGATACAAGAATGCAAGGAATTCTGCATTCTAATTGGATCAGTCAATTGAGGACCTGGGACAGACACAACATCACTTTAAAAGAAAAGTGGTTTACGTTTTTGTTCTGTCGAGAAAAAAACATGATTAATTTAGGTCAAATAATCATTTGATAAAAATATTTATGATGTTGTTGTCTCCTGTGTGTCTCTAAGTAAATACACTTGATCTAAGTAATTCCATTAATGCAAATGTTTCCTCTGAAAAATGAATGTGTAATCTACCCATTTTTAAAACAAAATATAAAATAAAATCCCAATAATCAGCTGGTTTAAATCACAGTGAAGTAGTCTCATTAGTTTCTTACCTTTGTCATTCAAGCATTGATATTCAGTAGCCCAGACAGTCACTGTTATCACCACACATGCTCACAAACCAATATTTGTAAATCAACTTGCAAAGCATATTCGATTTTCATATGGTTCTGAACTAGCCGGATATAAAGGCCTCCTCCCTGGGGGTATGTGCAGCTGCTATTTGAAGTAACTATCTGTCAAATACACATAACAACCATGCAGATGTTAATTTTAGTAAAAATGACACATTTATCATAAGTGTCTGCCAAAAAAGGCCACTGTTTATATCTAGTAAAGCTCTGTTATCTATATGGCTTCTTTAAAATAAAAGAATTTTGTATTTGATAGTTGGACGGGACCTCTATGAAACCTCTACATCTACTGTAGTACAAGTTATAGTAAACAACTTACTTTAGCGATTATGCTCTGCATAATCTCTCACAAATATATTACATATACAATATACAGTATTTTCCCCTTTCCAATGATGTTCTGTTTAATTAAATAACAAATCATGTATACACATTATTATTATTTTATTTTGAATAACCCTATACTAGATTTGGTTTGAATGTTCCTTCCCCTTCATTATGTAGTTTTTGTTGAGAGTTGCACACAGGGGGAGCCTATTTAGGTGTGTCATTATACAGTGTTTTGTGTCAATCAGTGGCAAAAAGTCCAAATTAAATATATTATGATTCCATAGTGTAACACAATACATTTTGAAAAAGCTCCAGGGGGTGAATACTTTTGATAGCCATATAAATGCTTCATTGCAAACTACATGTGGGATCTGAGAGGTTTTTTTTAGAAATGACTTCCTTCTTCGCACCTTACTATACAGGCCAACTTTAATTGATTTTTCCTCCCTTCTCAACCATTGAACACTGTATCTCTTTCAAAGTCACCAGTGATCTCATGGTAAAATCTGTAATCAATTTCCTCCTGCACTGTTTGGAAGTGCAACCTGATCTAAGCAGTGTCTGGGTGATATGATAAATCTTTCACTTTTTAATGATCACTTACATCATGCTCAAAGTGCTTGCAGAGCCTTAAAATTATTTTATACTCTTCTACCGATCTGTGTCTTTCCACAACTTTGACTCTGATTTGAAATGAAAGCTGAGTAATCTTCATAGTTGAAACTTTGCTTGAAAATCACTACCTAACTGAAAGACCTTATAGTGACTTCAGGTGTATTTATTCTGAAATCATATAAACCACTATTATTGGAAGAAAACACACCATTCAACTAATTGTGTGACTTGCCAAAGCAATTTTGTGAACCTTAACTCTTTTAGGCTTGCCACAGCAAAGAGAATTAATGCATACATTAATTTATTTTGTTCTTTGCTGTTTTTGCTGACATTTTTTTCAACCACAAAAGTGAAAAGTTAAAGCACTAACGTTTTGATTAAAACAGTCTTTAACAAAAT